CGAGTGGCAGATGTTGATGAAGACCTTTCCTTCCGATGAATTGGTCTTTATGCAGAAACCTGCACAAGTGGGTTATCTCGGCCATCTGTCCCCAAGCAGTCTCGTTCTCACCCACGCGCTGCCTCACCCACCCTCCCCTTTCCAGACAGGGTCTCCCTCTATACCCAGGCTGGCCCCAGACTTGGGACACTCCAGCCTCCTGAGATTATAGGCATTCACCACCACACCCAACTTCTTTCCCTCTTTTAATTTTATTACATGCACTGTGTGTGTGTGTGTGTGTGTGTGTGTGTGTGTGTGTGCGTGTCACAGCTGGTGTGCGTCATGGTCGGAGGACAGCGTTCAGGACTCAGCTCTCGCAGGTCACCAGGCTCACCAGCAGCAGCCTCACCTGCTCAGCCATCTTGCTACGTCTTTCACTCTTTGCCTCTGTCCTGCTGAGCCTCTGCTTCCCTCAGGCCCTGGACCCACTTCCGCTCTGCTTTCTGTGGTCCAGTATTTGTAGGTGACCCTCCTGCCTGTCCACTCACATAACTACTTCTAGGCCTTTGTACCCAGTTAGGATCTCTCTCCTTCATCCTCTGTGTCCCCTGCCCTTAGAGTCCACTGACCTCTCTCAGGGTCTCCAGTCCTCACTCTGAGATACTCTACGCCTGCCTATCCATCCATCCATCCATCCATCCATCCATCCATCCATCTATCTATATCTCTCTATCTATCCATCCATCCATCTATATTCTATCTATCTATCTATCCATCCATCCATCCATCCATCCACCCACCCTTCCATCCATCCATCCATCCATCCATCCATCCATCCATCCATCTATTCCTCTATCTCCACCCACCCATCCATCCATCCATTCCTCTATCTGTATCTATCATCCATCCATCCATCCATCCATCCATCCATTCCATCCACCCACCCATCCATTCCTCCATCTGTATCTATTTCTCACCAGGCTGGGGCTGGATCTGTGTAGACTCTGGTCTGTCTGTCTGGGCTTGCTGGAGCTCCTTGGAAGCCTGTGGGGAAAAACAACCTCATGATAATTCTGCCCTATCAAGCCCCCCACCTGCTTCCCAACGTTTATTAGGACAGCTCATGTGTGATAGCTGGGGATCACATGGTTTTTACTAATGTTATATTATTGTTGTTATTATTATTATTATTATTTTATTATTACTATTGAAACAGGGTTTCTCTGTGTAGCCCTGGCTTTCCTAGAACTCACTCTGTAGACCAGGCTGACCTCGAACTCATAGGGATCTGCCTGTCTGTGCATCCCCAGTGCTGGGATTAAAGGCATGTGTCACCGTCACCTGGCTCACTTGTTATATTACACAGTCTAGGCCCCCTTTTCTTTTTACGAAGACTCCCAAGATCACCCCAATTCCGTTTCTTTTAAAACCTAGTAAACTTTGTGCCAAACAAAACTACAATTCCCATAGGCCTCCTTGCTGCCGTAGGGCATTCTGGGAACCGAAGTCGCGTCTCTGAGCGCCAATGTATAAATCTTCAACACCCAGGTCCCTGCAAGTCCTGTCAGCCCGCACCTGCAGTAGCAGCTCCTGAAACCGCACCGTCTCATCACCCATCGACTCTGCGTCGCTCAGCTCTGGGGCCAGAAGCTTCGAGTCCGCCATGGCCCTGGGAAAAAGTCCAAGGCATCCAAAACGTGTGGACTTCCCGGATCAGCGAAGCCAGCCTATCGCGGGGCCTCAGCGATCCCCGACACACAGCGCCCTACCCAGAACTCCCAGGTCTGTGCCGGGAATCGTCTACGCATTCATTACGATGAAGGCACCGTCCTCAAGTGTTGGGTTTCTTGATTGATCCTGTTTGGCCGATGCCTAAGTGAAAGCCACACTTCCGGTCTCTGTAACCAAGGACCTGAAGTAGCCACACTTCCGACGACTGCAGCGCCCTATCATCCAAAGGCACCCAAGCCGACCATTTGTGTTAGAAAGCTGAAGTCACGCCCCCCTAACCAGCCAATCAAAAGAGGGGCTGAGGAACACCGTGAAATGACACACTTCCTGAATCAATAACACCTACACTTCCGCCCGTCCCTAACAACTGCAGGCGTTACGGTGCAGAAAGGATTGGCACTCTGAGAATTTAATCTCTGTGTGTAGCTCTCGTCTATTATGTGTAGGCTCTGGGTTCGATCCCACCCAACACACACACACACACACACACACACACACACACACACACACACACACACTTAATTTCAATGCTATTAACTGTCCTTTTTGAACAAAAAGAAGGTTTTTGTTTATATGGAAAGTCATGCGGGCGGGGTGAGGGGTGGGGACGGACCTGGAGAGATGGTTCAGTGTTTGAGTGTTGATTGGTCTTCCAGAATTTTTTATTTGTTTTATTGTTGTTTTTCGAGACAGGGTTTCTCTGTGTGGCTTTGGAGCCTGTCCTGGAACTCACTCTGCAGACCAGGCTGGCCTCGAACTCAGAGATCCCCCTGCGTCCCGAGTGCTGGAATTAAAGGCCAGGGTCACCACCGCCCGCTTTAGTCTTCCAGAATTTGATTCCCAACACCCACATGGAGACTCACAATCCCCTGTAACTCCAGTTTTAGGGGATCCAACGCCTCTTCTGGCCTCCTGGGAAACTGCATGTACATGATGCACAAGACATGCAGTCAGGCAAAATACCCTGCACATAACATAGAAGCAAATCTTTGCTTGTTTTAAAGAAGAGAAAATAGTAGTGGTGGGGAGAGGGCTCGGCAGTTAGGAACATGCGCTGCTTTGGAAAGGACTGGTTAGTTCTAACACCCACATGGTTGCTGACAACTGCCTGTAACTCCAGTGGCTCCAGCGCCGTCTTCTGGCCTCCATAGGCACTGTATGCATGTGGTGCGCAGACACGCGGAAAAACCCAAACAAGTACAAGGAAGATAAATATTTTTAGCTGGGTGGTAGCGGCATATGCCTTTAAACCCAGCACCCCGAGACAGGGTTTCTCTGTGTAGTTTTGGTGCCTGTCCTGGCTGGCCTCGAACTCAGAGATCCGCCTGGCTCTGCCTCCCGAGTGCTGGGATTAAAGACGTGGGCTGCCACGTGGAGGTGGATTTCTAAGTTCGAGGCCAGCCTAGTCTAGAGACCAAATTCTAGGGTGAAGGGGCTCTAGCAGGCCTTGCCCTTCCTCCTTCCCTCTCCCTTGCTAAACCATAGATTACATCCCTAAAGTTAGTCACCAAGGTCTGCTCCCTCGTTTGACCACTTCCTCCTCCTGGGCTAAGCGGACCAGCAGTGCCCTAATTAACATGCCAATCAAAGTAAACCAACTCATCCTAACCCGGGGGTTGGGGGGCGGGTCCAGGTCCCCTCCATAGTCCCCTCCTAGGGTCCAGGAAGAATCTACAACCAGCTGATTGTAATCTTTGATGAAAAGAAATGAATCTATGTACACAAAACTCCTTAGTCCATACACTTTATTCTTCTGAGTCAGTTCTCTCTCTACACAGCGTCTATTCTGCTCTCATGTCTAGCTCCTTTCTTGCCTAATTTCTCTATATCTATCTACTGTCCCCTTTAGGTTCTATCTTAATTCCTTCATCTAGTTCTGTCCCTTCTAGGTTCTCATCCATCTAGTTCTTTCCCCTATCAGCTCCTCTCCCGTCTCCTTCTCTCTCATCTGGCTCTTCCTCATCTTGTTCTTCCCCATCTGGCTCTTCCTCATCTTCCATCTCGTTCCTCTAGTCCTCTCTTTTAGCCCTTCAATCTAGTTCTTCCCCATCTCAGTTTGTTCCTCTCAAGTTCTTACCCATCTAGTTCTTCCATTCCTTTTCTCTGTCCCGTGCCCTGGAAGTCCCAGTATATAAAGGGAGGGTCCGAACCAAATTGTGTAAGGCTATTACTTAATGTCCACCTGATCTAGGCGGTGTCCCCTTGTGGAATTTACCCGTAAGTCAGGAGATTCGCATGTGGGCTGTTATCACTGTTATCCTCGGAAGTTGGGTGTCCACCTGGTGTTTCCTGTAGTCCTTGAAAGTGGCCAAGGGAGATACCTGATTCCAGAGAAAGCCTTTCCTGGGGCTGTTCTCCAAATACCTGGAATGTGTATGTCCAGAGAGTGATCAGTCCACACTGTTAGTCCTTCTTAGGGGAAAGTCAATTGGGAAAACTATGAAGGCACACATGATTTTCATAACAGAAGACAGCTGATATATAACAAGCCAAGTAACACCAAAAGCTCCTTGGGATTTGGCTTCCTCTGGAGGAATTCCCCGATCCCTCCAGGTAGTGACTTTGCCATAACCAGCTGAGTTCTTATGATATATTCCTGCGGCCCGCAGCAACAGGGTTCCTCTTTTTCCCTTTATAACTGCCATTTGCCTATGGACTTTATCCAAACGCAGGCCTTTGTCCCTCCAGAACAAATATCCTTTCCCCTCCCTCTCCCTTGGCCCTTTCCTCCCATCTCCCTTGTCTCTGTCCCCCAGCCCCACCCCACCCCCACCCCGGCCCGCCTCCCCGGAGGAAAATAAATCTCCTTTTTGAACAACCACTGAGACCTAGTGCCAGTCTGTTCCCTGTTTTAGTTTTTGGACTAAAAGCTCCACGACCTCCCCCAGTTATTTCTTTCTACCTCCACCGCCAATATTTTAGGTAGGAAAACATCAAGAACATTTTTTTCCTGCCAGGTGTGGATTAAATCCCAGCACTCCGGAGACAGAGTTAAGCAGATCTTTTTGAGTTTAAGCCAGCCGGATCTATGAGTTCCAGGACAGCCAGAGCTACATAGTGAGACCCTGTCTCAACAAAACAATTTATTTTTCCTAAAGAGTCAAAATGACAATATGCTGTCCTACCAAAGCCAGAACCCTTTCGCTAGCGCGGAGACTGCCCCCAGTTCTGTTACCCACGAAACTACATTTCCCAGCTTTCCCCCCTAGGAGGCAGGGCGTGGCTCTGGAGTGGGCGGGGCACGCCCTATAGCGCGCGCCCGGCCCTGTGGGCCCCGCCCCCTTGGAGTGGGCGGTGCCGCCCTTCGGACTTCCGCGTTCCCCAGGGCAGGTCGTCCGGCGGTCCTTCAGGGAAGGCGTTCGGCGAGCGATGGCGGCTACGCGTGTACGGCCCTCCGCCCGCGAGATTTTCACGACACTGGAGTACGGACCGGCGCCGGAGAGCCACGCATGCGCACTGGTAAGAGCGTGCCTGCCGGCGGCCGGCGGCTCCCTTACTCAGACCGACCGGCGCTTTGGGCGCGCGGGCTCCCGTCATCCACTGCGGCATTCCCGGGAGCCCCGCCCCCTCGGCTCACGTGATCCCCGCGGGTTTGAACCCAGGGTTAGGGACCGGCGCTGAGTTTTCCCAGTGATGCTGGTCCTGCGTGCCGCGGTGTGCGGTCCTGCGTGCCGCGGTGTGCGGTCCTGCATGCCGTGCGGTCCCGCGTGCCGTACGGTCCTGCGTGTCCCCCGTGCCGCGGTGTACGGTCCCCCGTGCCGCAGTGTGCGGTCCCGCGTGCCGTACGGTCCTGCATGCCGCGGTGTGCGGTCCCGCGTGCCGCGGTGTGCGGTCCTGCATGCCGTGCGGTCCCGCGTGCCGCGGTGTACGGTCCCGCGTGCCGTACGGTCCTGCATGCCGCGGTGTGCGGTCCCGCGTGCGGCGGTGCACGGTCCCGCGTGCCGTGCCGTACGGTGCCGCGGTGTGCGGTGCTGCGTGCCGCGGTGGTGTTTCCTCCCAGGGACGGGCGGTCCTCGGCAGGCATCTCACCTTGCTCGACCGTGGCTCCTTGGGGCCCCTGGCACTTTGGAGGCGCACGGGCACGCTCAGAACCCCAAGTCCATTTAGAGCTTCTTGTGAATACCATTATGGCGCTCCCATGATCCCCGGCCCCTTTGAATGTCCTCAGGGCATTTGATACCCCCAAGTTTAATGGGTTTCATTGGGAGAGCTTCATATTTCATAATTATTCCTTAAGAGCCTCATGGTCCTGGGCTTCTTAGGGCTCTTGTAACCCCTCGGGGTCTCCCAGGACCCTCTTAGCGTCCTGGTGGAATTTAGTAGTGTGCCCGGGATTTTTGCCTGTGGTCCCACAAGTTCTTCGAGTATCCAGGCAGGTATTAAAGAGGTTGGAGAGATGACCAAGTTGAAGCCTTTAAACTTTAAGGGGAGTCCCTTCACTTCCAAAAGGGCTCCAGCTTTGGAAGGCTAGCATTATAACACTCACGTTTAGAGTGTTACTCCCAAAGATTCGAGGAGAAAGACCACCGACCCAAATCATGGCAGAATTCATTAGAGCAAGCTTTTTTATCCCTCCCCTAAAGCGAGGTTCAGAGATCAGCCTTGGATGTGAGGAAAACAAGGTTTTTATAGCTCAGGGTTTCCAGTGGGGGATTTGGCAGTCAAAATAGTCTTTGGGGTTACAGGAGCCGAACATAAGCATGACAAGTTAGTCATGACGACCTTCCTGAAACAAACAAGATTGCAAGGTGATTGTAACAAGGTAGGGTTGTAAGATGGTTATGATTACTTTTGGAAACAAAGGCATGGTTGCCATTTCCTGGAACAGGCAGTACAGAAGCACGTGTAGTTGAGGTTCCACGTGGGGCACAGCCCAATCCTTGAGAAATGTGTTGTCATAAACAAGATTGAGCCTATGTCGTCTTTTCTGTCGAATGGCTTTCAAGCCTAAGATTGAGACAAGCTAGCTCATCAAGAGATGCAGGGAGGGGGACACCAAGGTGCTGGTTAAGAGGGTAGGACCCCAGCCCTGCCTTGTTCCTGCATGGAGAGTCCAGGATGGGATAGACACTGAGCTCTGGTGACGTGGAGACCGAATCGGTCCTAGAGATGGAGGCTAGTGTTGCTTGGCCTTTGTGCTTCTGGACAAACAATCGCAGTGGAGATAACCAACCAGAGAGCCGCCATTGTAAAAAGATGCTGTACTGCAGGAGCACCTAGAAATAGAGACGCAGGTGAGAGGGGGGTCGCCACGGAGGGAGGCTGCTTAGAGGTGGAAAACAGTAACAGGTTGAAGGTTGAGGTGGATGGATGGACTGTGTCAGCCTCTGTGCTAAGCGTGATTTTACTTAATCCCCAGAACAGCAGAGAGGAAATTATTCTTATTTTAGTGACAGAACACAAGGTCGATGAGGTGAATCGTTTTGCCCATAGTCCACACAGCTTAAAGGAGTTTGGATAATGGTGACAAACAGCAGTAACCCAGCGTTTGGAAAGCCAAAGCGGGTGATTTATGAGTTCCAAAACAGTCCCAAGAGTGAGAGAAAGAGCTCTCTTTCTCTCTGTCACCACGCCTTAGATTCTGGACCCATCAGTCCCGTGTCCTGGTCTGTCGCCCCCCACCCCCACCCCTTACTCCAACAGAGGCCTCCAGTTTACAGTCCGGGCAACTCAACCAGCAAACATGTTTTCCTTGGCTTGAGCTTTGTTTTTGGAATTGTCAATTATTGTACAATTAATTCCATCTAAACATCCTGAATTCTAATTTCTCTCAAAAATAAAATTCCAAAGTTTGGCAACCTTCTGGCTCCAGTTCCCTGACAGAACCCATCTGGAACCGTTTGTCTAGGCCACTTTGGAGACATTTTCAGCAATCAGTGTCCAAGAGGCGCTCCTCTCCACTCCTGTGGCCTGCCAGAACCCTGTGGACATTCTTTGGGGAGTTTGTTTTTCTCCATCTCTCACCCAGCAGCTGCTCGTAGGAACTCCCACGGACTCATCACTCAAGCTCAACTTTTATCTTTTAGTCCAGTGTTCCCTTGTGCTCTGTCTTTGCTCTCAAGAGTAGTGCAGACAAATGCCAGCTGTCGGCTGCTTTCCCATAAACATGGGGTGTTTATTTCTGACAGATAAGGGTTTGGTTACACAACCAGCACGCTCTCCATCATTCAGCCTCATTAACTGTCAGTTGTTAGTATTTAATGCCCAGCTCATGTTCCCATGGCCCCACTTCCAAAATGGCTCTGTCCCTGTGCACACTTCAATTTGGGACTTTTGGGTGACAATTTTTCTTGGTAAAATATTTTTACTGCCGGGCGGTGGCGGCGCACGCCTTTAATCCCAGCACTCAGGAGGCAGAGGCAGGTGGATCTCTGTGAGTTCGAGGCCAGCCTGGTCTGCAGAGAGTTCCAGGACAGGCTCCAAAGCTATAGAGAGAAACCCTGTCTGGGGTTGGGGCAGATTTTTATCTCTTTATTCTGGGTTTTTGTTCTTATTTTTACTTTTTGGGGCAGGGTTTCTCTATGTAGTCCTTCCTGGCTGTCCTGGATCTCGCTCTGTAGCCCAGGCTGACCTTAAACTCACAGAGATCCACCTGCCTCTGCCTTCCAAGTGCTGGGATTAAAGGTGTGCGCCACCACACCTGGGCAAGATTTATCTTTATTATTTATGGTTATGTGTCTGTGTGTGTATGCATGTGCATGTGCTTGTGGGTGATCAAGGAAGCCAGAAGAGGGTGTCAGACCCCCGGAGCTGGAGTTGCAGGTGGTTATGAGCTGCCTGCTGTGGGTTCTGAGAACCAAACATGGGTCCTCTACAAGAGCAGTGTGTGCGCTTAACTTCAGAGCCAGCTCTTCTGCCCCAGCCTTCTTTGTTTTGATTCAGTGTCTCACTAGTCTAGGTCTCCCCAAATAGGCTAGACTGGTTCTCTTGAGCCCCGAGTCTTCCTCCTCCACCTTCCCAACACAGGGCTCACCAGTGTGTGCACCACAGTCCACTTTTTTCTCATGGGGCCTGGGGATTGAGCTCAGGTCCTCATAACTGCAAGACAAGCATTCTACTGACATATGTCCTCGCCCTGCCACATTTTTTTTTTCCATTTTTGAGACATGGTCTCCCTGTGTAGCCTAAGCTGGCCTTTAAATCCTGGCGATCCTTCTGCTTCGCCACGCTGCGTGTTGGAATTGTAGACATACGCCACCACACAAGCCCATTTTCCTTTAAAAAAAAAAGGTAAATAAAAATGACAACGCCAGTTGTCAAGATGAGGGAAAAGCAACAGGAAGTGGGAAGTAGATGTTGGATTTAACAACCGCAAAAATGTAAGCAGGAAGAGAAAGCAAGAAACATGCATGAAGAGGAGGGTGCGGTAAAGGTCACAGGAAGAACTACACCTGCAGGTGTTCACCATACGTCAATCCACCCCCTTGTCAGCAGCCCTGGGGATGGTCTAGCAGAGGCAGAGAGTTAGAAACCCTGGCTAAGCCTGGGGGATGGCGCATGCCTCTGATCCCAGTGCTCGGGAGGGAGAAGCAGGCGGATCTCGGGTCTGCAGAGCGAGTTCTAGGACAGCTAGGGCTACACAGAGAAACCCTGTCTGGAAAAGTACTAATAGTAATAAATAAATAAGCCCCTGGCTAAGGTTACATATTAGAGTCTTGGGGAGACGGCTCCGTCAAGTGCTTCTCACACAAGAATGAGGACCTGAGCCCTGATACCCTGGCCCCAGGTCAACCCGGGACAGCCAGACATGGCGGCACACAGCTTTAACCCAGCGCCTGGGAGGCAGAGGCAGGTGGATCGCTTGTGAGTTCTGGGCCAGCCTGGGCTACAGAGTGAGTTCCAGGCCTGCCAGGGTGTGAGACCTAGTCTCAAACAAAACAAACAACAACAAAAGAAGCAGTAATCCCATTACACACGTGACCCCTTGTGAAAGAGGCGGAGTCTTTCTGCCAAGGGGTTGCATGCTGGTTTCCCTTCTCTGCTGACCAACGGGGTCCATCTTCTCATGTTTATCAGCCATTCAAGGTTTTCATTTTATGAAATTTCTCTCCAAAAAAATAAAAAAGAAAGAAAGAGGCTGAGGCAGGAAGATCCTTGGGCCTGCTGGCCAGCCATTCTAACTGAAACTGTGAGCTTCAGGGTCAGTGAGAGACCCTCTTTGACAAAAAGACAAAGGGACTGGGCATATGGCTCAGCAGTTAAGAGAGCTTGCTGCTCCTGTAGAGGACCTAGGTACATGGCAGTTTATAACCACTGTAACTCCAGTTCCAGGACACTGCCTCTGTCTTCTGGCCTCGGTGGGTACTTCATGTGGGCACTGCACTCACATACATGCATGAAAAACACTCATACCACAGAAAGATTAGACGTTATCTCAAGACGGAGGAGAAAGGAATGTAAAGCAGTAATTTCCCAAGTACAGAATCTCTGTTTGTGTGATGCAAAAACCCCACAGATGGATGACAGTATCAGGACATAATATCATGAATGTAATAAATCAATACAATTAATGTAATTAATGAATATCATAAATACAGTTATTGAATGAATACTGCAAATGTAATCAATGAGTACCACAAATGTAATTAATATCATTAAGTGTAATTAATGAGCCAGGAGGCGGTGGCGCACGCCTTTAATCCCAGCACTCGGGAGGCAGGCGGATCTCTGTGAGTTCAAGGCCAGCCTGGTCTACTGAGCGAGATCCAGGACAGGCTCCAAAGCTACACAGAGAAACCCTGTCTC